AAATTCTTGTACTTTTTTTTTTTAATACGAAACACAGAAACAAAAAAGAAAAAAAGGGGGCCGGACACAAACCGACATGGAAGAGAGAGAGAGAGAGAGAGAGAGAGAGAGAGAGAGAGAGAGAGAGAGAGAGAGAGAGAGAGAGAGAGCATCTCGGAAACAAAACGACGCAATTCGGGAACAAATAAAAAAAATAAAAATCAACACCGAAAAAACAAAAGATGCCACACGAACGAAAAAATTAAAAGTACAAAAATACGAAAATGAAAAGGAAAAGAAAACCAGGATCAAAACCGAAAACAGAAAAGAAAAGAAAAAAAGTGGCGGGGCCACAAATCGGAGGGCTCTCTTTCCGAGATGTTCATCCGCATCGACGCCCGCCGTGTGCCCCGCCCCTGGGGCACGCTCTCACGTTTAATGGCGCGATGGGAACAATTCGGTACGCGCACTGCTCTGCACACCGCCCCTCCCTCGATCGCCTTCATGCGCCGCCCCGAATCAAAACTTCGCCCCGATTCCGGCACGCAGTGGAACACAACCTCCCCCCGCGGGCCGCTCACGCTTAAGGGGTAGGATTAGGATTATAAAGCAAACGACCAGTCCCCCATCCCGAAGCACCTCCTGACAAAAATGTATATTTTGCCTTCCTTATAAAGCAAGGAGCTGGATAAGAGGGAATTGCACATCCAACAGGTAAATCAAGACTGGTCGCTGACCATTGACCTCCTCTCATCGTCAGAGGAAGAGAACAGTGACTGCGACAACCAAGGAGGAAAAGGACTGGCCAAACTCGACCCCCGGGGCAAAGAAGGGGAAGCACCCTCTGAAATCTTAACAAGAGCGAAGATGAGGGACTGGGTGGAGAGGCGGGAGCTGTGGATCTTATCAAATCTAAAGGAAAATGTCTTGCTGCTTCTGTTATCCCGTCACAAACCCTGTGGACAGCCAACCATTGGCCTTCTGAAAGTGGAGCCACAATATCATAAACTGGCAGCGGAGGTTACCTTCATGGGCTGGAAGGGCAAGCCAGACCTGAAACTGGTAACGACTCACCTGCACCACATGTGGGACATATCTGACGAAGAGATACTCCCCCGCCTGTCATGCCCTCAAGGGCTCCCCTTCCCGCCTCAGCTCCACACAGTACAACCTCTACCTCCACAAAGAACAAGCAGAAAAGCACAGGGTCCTCCACACCACCACGAAGTGGTTTAACTGAAGAGGAACTCTGGCAACTCCCAATCACGTGACTTCAGTCCAGCCAGATATGGCTGGCCTACCATATCAGACATATCTTGGGACTGATCCTTTCCCAAAGTCTACTCACAGTACTCCACTCAGAGACACAGAGACAACAGTAAAATGAGGCGTCATAAACAAGTGACCCACTCCAAATTGAAATAGACATACCATGGCGGCTAACTAGAATGTAACTGAAACACCCCCCCGTTCGTCCTTGCTCTGTTCGAAAACCGAGCCATTTGTCTCCCTCTCCCCCCTGGCACCGCACCATTCCACCGACCCCTTACATCACCACACTCATAGCACCACACTCCTGATCGGGTTCCTGAGCCCCCGCCCCCCATACGCCCCCCCCCCCATGAGGAAGGTACCGCTGTGGGAAAAAAAAAATAATTTGGACGTGCAATCAATCAATGTTATTGGACCGGCAGCCTCAATACCGCAGAAAACACAAGCGATATGGGATATGATCCGGTCAAACGATGCCAACTATTGGCCCGATGACGTGTATGTGCAAGAAACACCCCTGTTGGACAACCTGACACAGCGGGCAAAAGCCCAACAAATTTGGCCATACCAAGCTTACCATGCGCATACGAAGAACTACCATTCTACGGGGGTGGCAATCTGGCTTCCCCCCCACATCGAGACTTAAGCCCCTTGAGGTGATCAGAGACGAGACCCATGGAAGATGGGTGCTCATCAAGGCCCTGTGGGAAGACGAAGAGATCTGCCTGGCAAGTGTTTATGCTCCTAATACACCGGCAGAAAGAGCTAAACTTTTTCTACAACTTTTGCATGTGCTCCCTGCCGACCTCCCCATGATCCTGGCTGGAGACTTCAATCTAGCGCCGGACTCCACGATCGATACGAGTAGTCAAACTCAGCCAGAATGACCGGGCTAGTCAATGCCATATCAAGAACTTGATACCCACAAAACAAGCATTTACATGCATTAAAGCTAGGGGTTGTGACAACCTGTCAAATTCAAGAATTGATATGATGCTCTTCTCCAAAGATCTAACAGGCCCACTAATAGAGGCCGCCATACTCCCCTTCATCCCCTCCCACTCCTTCGACCATAAGATGATCGCCGTTGGCGTCCCATATGGAAATTTACGTAGGATTTTGAAAGTTTTGAATTTTTTTAAGATACCGGGGCCATTACCCGGCTAAACACATCACGAATCAAACTACCGACATTCCAACAGTGTGTTAAAGAATACTGGGTGTACTGGCAGTCCAAGAAACAGTATGCTAAATCAGTGGTGGACTGGTTCAATCAAGGGGTGGCCCAACTAAGAGAAAGAATGAAAAAATACTCAATAGAAAGGGCGAGGGAACGAAAAGCAGTCTTGGAGGACCTCCTTCGTACCTTGGAACAATGGGATGATAGATTATCCTCGACCCCGCTGGACGACAAAGCATATTCCAAATTGCAACAGGCTAGGGACCGCCTACAAGAACACCTTGACACCCAAGCGGAGGCATTGAAAATTCCGGCCAGAATCAAGCACCCCCGGAAGGACAGGATGATGGCAATTTTTTTTTTCCAGAAGGCCAAGGTGAGAGCGAAACAGGCCGCCATAGTCTCGCCCAAACACCCGCTGCACACTGACTGTCCAGAGCCCACTAACCCCTACGCAGTGATCGATTATGCCGCCAAGTACTACCAAGAACTGTTCACCTCCAAAATATTCCAATGGACAACTGATAGTGTCACAGACGCGAGGCAACAAGTGTTGTAGAACCTTGAAAGACTTGAATCTATCCTCTCACCAGAGTACCGTTCCGCGCTGAAACGCCCGCTGACCACGACGAAGATTTACAGCGCCCTCCAACAAATGGAAGACAAAAAAACACCGAGTTTGGATTCATTCCCTAAGGAATTTTGGCTTGCATTCCGGGATACAATTGAAACGGACCTCATGTGTTATATAATCGCAGTTCTAGCTGAAGGCACGTTTGGAGGCCTCCTCAACCAAGGAGTCACCACACTCCTGTACAAGAAAGACTCGAAGAATGAGGTCAGGAATTACGGACTCTAACACTGCTGTCTGTACATGGAGAAGGCGCTCACTAACCTCATGCATCCCCATATGACACACCTCATCCACCCCGACTAGTCCGGGTTCATACCCGAAAGGAACATACAAGATAATATCCTCCTGGTGAATGAGACTATAAAATATGCAAGACAGAAGGAAGCAGCGGTCCTCTTCATTGACTTCGAAAAGGCCTATGACTATGTGGATTGGGTCTTCCTGGACCTCTGTATGCAAAAATGAATTCCGGTTCCAATTTCAGGATGGGTGGACACCCTTCATAGAACAACAACAACCAATGTGATGGTGAATGATCATCTCTCCAACCCGTTCCCACTTCAACGATCGGTTAGGCAAGGGGATCCTGTTGCCTCGTTGTTGTTCGTCATTATAATGGAGGCTCTTGTCACGACTATCAGAGCTAATCCTTAAATAGAGAAGATAGATGTGCTCGAAATCCCGCACCACTGCATCCCCATGACATCACTCTTCGCTGATGATCTAACGGTGCTGATCAAGGCCAACCAGTCCTCTCTACAAGCGCTGGTCACTACCATACATAAGTTCTCAATACCATCTGATATGGTCGTGAATTGGGGTTCTAAGACCGAGGGTTGGTGTCTCCACCCCCAAGACATCTTGCCCCTCCACGACCCGGCTGTGGCATGGAAACACAGGGAGGAGGCTATACGGATATTGGGAGTGCGCCTTACAACGCTGGGACCCCTGCTCGACCATGGGGCCTCCTTGGTGGAGGAGGCCCTGCGAAGAATGATCAGGTGGAAGGGTCTACACACCTCAATAGTTGGGAGGGCGCTGAAACTAAATACCGCAATATTTTCGGCAATGTGGTATAAAGCAACATGCTGGCCGATCCCGCCCGAGCAACTTCAAAGACTGAGGAAAGCGGCAGTAGCATACCTGTGGAAAAACGATCATGAGGACACTGCGTTCCTCTCCTGAGTGGCTTGGGACATCATAGCCTAGCCCCGGTCAAAAGGGGGTCTGACAATTTTGGAACCGCAAGACCAGTTAAAAACGCTCTCTTTCAAAATTATTATCATTCGTTTGCTGATGGGGAATGATGTCTTGTGGGCCCCTTACACATATCCAGATCGCCAATCTTGCCCCCGCCTCCCCACCGGAGAAGCAGGTACATCCACTGCAATGGCTAACCAACCCGACACGGCCAATCCCTGGTTCACCCTCATCAACGGCTCCCTTTTCTCAACAGGCCCAAACAAGAAATGACGTAGCCAATGACCCGCTATGGCCCAACATGGTGAAACTGTGGAGGGAGATGGGCCCTTAGTGCGTACCCCCGCCCCTACGCTGGCACGACAACCGCTCTTCGGAAACCTGCGCATATGCGATGAGGAAGGGAGGCCATTCCAACTATCAAGGCGTTCACATTGGAGACAATGGGTCGCCAAAGGGTTCTTCACTGTATGAGATATCTGGGATTTCCAAAGGGGTGCATTGAAAACAGCGGACTAAGTGAAAGACCAACTGAAATATGTCAGAGGAAGGGAGGAAAACCTGGAAAGACTCCAAGAATCCATTCCCCTCGCATGGATCCGACCCTTGTAAAACGGCCCCTCCATTGAAGAAGGTGATTGGGTGGTTTATTGGCCCCAGATCAAACTTCCTCACTCGATGGGCAAGGTAGTCAAATTGATTGACCAGACTGCCCATGTAAAAGCATATGACATATCTTCTCAGGGGGCCACATGGTCAGCATTACGAAGAAATCAAGATGGGGACACTAACCGCAATTGGGCTAGCCTGATTAAGGTGACGATGATGGAGAGAACAAACCAATCCCATTTCGTATACCAGCCATGCTCCCCGATCTAGACTCTGGCAGTGGACCCGAAATGGGGCCACCACCCCCCCTGTAAAACCATGGGAGTACACAGTCAAGCATGGGTATCGAACAATACACAAAACACAATCCACAGAAAAGATTGTGCAAAAGAGATGGGACAAAGATTATATCCTTCCACGGGGGGAGATGGCCGGTCTTAGATGGACCTGCTACACAAACATAATGTCGACATCTCACCGGGCCCTCCAATGGCAGATACTGTATCGATGCCTGCCCACCCCCGACTGGCTTGTCTCGAGGACTGACTTGGAACAGAAAGGCCTTATCTCCCCCATCTGCAGATACTGCGACTGGTTCTCCCAACCCTCCCGTGCCACACTGGAACATTGCTTACTGGGATGCCCCATGGTAACTCAAATATGGAGATGGTGGGATGCAACCTGGGCATTCCTTACCAGGTCCCAATTTTCGTGGGTTCTGAAACTGTTGCTTATTGGGAACCCGATAGAATCCCAGGTGGGTTGGTCTCCCTACGAGAGGAATCTGTTCCACATTACAAGAATAGAACTGATGATGCTCGTTTGGCGAGCCCGCTGCTCCTTTGAGCGAAACCAACACACCTTCACCCCCCCCCCCAAGCGAAGGAACACCTATCACAGTACCTGCTGGGGAGGGTAAGAGCAGCATGGGATTGGGCCAAGCAACAAATCAAAAAGATATAGGAAGACCCGACCCTCACAACATCACAAAAACAAAATAAAGAAAATGAAATGACAAACCGATTCATAGAAGATTGGTTGGGTCCAAAGAGAGCAATGGCAGACCTTCAAGACTCCCGACTACTTTGGAAGAATTGGAGGATGGAGGAGCACAAATGACCCCTGAAAACTTACAACCACTTCTCGGTCCCATTTGATGCAACCCCC